CAACGAGAGTATTCCATTCCATATGCATCATATTCAGTATAAAACTGAGGGATCGTGGGCATTAAGTTCTCTTCTTTGATGGCTGGTGTCTGAGGAGAACTCTGTCCGATCTTCTGCCTTTAATCCCAATCTTGAGTTCCAAAATCCAGCTCCTGTACCCAGTTCCCCTCTGCCACTGAGCTTTGGCCTTCCCTAGTACTGCCTGTTCTGCAGCATCAGAGAGGATTGCTGTTGGGAGGAGGAGTTGGGTTCAATATTGGTTTTATAGATATTTACATGTATTTTATTTGTTTTCTTATCAGTACTAATATTATTTATTAAAGCTGTTTTAGTTTTCTTTTCCAACCCGTAAGTCTCACTGCCTCAATCCTTTTTCCTTCCCCTTTTGGGAGGGAGAGGGCTTAGAGGGTGTCTGTCAGTGCTTAGTGGCCAGCCCAGCTCTAACCCTCGGCAATCTTTTCTACTACGGAAGAAATAACTTTTGCTTGATAGAGTTAGGAAAATATGCATGGTTGCTTTCAAAGGAGGTCACAGGGGAAATTTCACTGAACAGAGAAGAATTCCAGTGGGCATGTGGTTTGGTCACTGATTAACAGAAGATAAAGAAAACGTGTGTTTTGAGTGGCCAAAGCAAGCACAGTGCTTCTACCACTGTCTGTGCTGTTCAGTATGTCTTGGAAGATGCGTTTTAGTACCTTGCCTTGTTTTCAGAAACCCTGGCTGAACTGCTGACCAGCTGGGCCTGTGGTGGTTCTGTATGAAGTAAGTCTCCTGAAATCACAGAATCACAGAATGTTAGGGGCTGGAAGGGACCCCGAAAGATCATCTAGTCCAACCCCCACCACTACCAAAGCAGGATCACCTAGTGTAGGTCACACAGGAACGCAATCAGACAGGCTTTGAGTATCACCAGAGGAGACTGCACAACCTCTCTGGGCAGCCTGTGCCAGTGCTCAGTTAATTTCCCGTCCCAGATTTTGATCAGTACTGTTTGATTCTTTCTTTGTACTTCTCAAGTGCATTCTTAAGTGCCTACCTTGAGTGCTGGGGGGTGCATGGGAGTGGAGAGCAGCAAGCTCTGTTTACATTTGAGCAAAGAGCAGCTCATTTTGTTAGTTAATGAAAAGCAGGGCTATGAAATTTCAACTCTCTTGTTTATTCTCCTGCTGAATTCACTGGAAATTCACCTCAAGTAAATAATTGATATTTTCTAACCTTTCCTGTTTTTTAGGAAGTGTTTTTTAATTGCATTTTTAAATGCAAGAGCAACTCCCTGTGAGACGTGCATTGCCCTGATTTCTCCCTCAGTTGTACCCAGATGCTCTCAGCTCCTAATTCATTGCGTAAGCTTCAGGACAAGAGTGCAGTTTTTAATTTACGTACAATAGCTTACGATATGGAAGGTCTCAGGTATGACATCATAGTAGGTAACCTGTACTGTAAATGACTATTTTGTTAATCCTTCCAAGTGGTCCTTGAATATTAACCAACTAAAGATAGGAGCCCTTTAATTTCTACTCCCCTGTCCCAAAAGTTGGCCCTGCTGAAGTCCAGTGCTGCGATCCCGCTTGGTGTTCTGTTCCTGCCACACAAGATGCTGAACTCTCCACCTCATGGTCGCTGCAGCCAAGATTGCCCTCAACCTTCACTGCTTTGACCACACCCTCCTTGTTGGGGAGCACAAGATCCAGCAGCATCCTCTCCTAATTGGCTCATTCACCATTTGCATCAAGAAATTATCATCGATGCACTGGAGGAACCTCCTGGACTGAGGATGGCTGGCTGTGTAGGCCTTCCAGCAAATATCTTGGGAGGTGAAATCATCCATGAGAACCAGGGCCTGTGATTGAGAGGCTGCTGTCAGCTGCCTGTAGAAGGCCCTCATCAACTTCCTCATACTGATCAAGTGGCCTGTGACAGACACCCACCACAGTATCACCCCTAGCCTGCCCCTTCATTCTCACCCACAAACTCTCAACTCGCTCCTAATCTGCCCCTGGACAGAACTCAATACGTTCCAGTTGCGCTCTCACTTAAAGAGCAACTCCACCACCTTGCCCTGTTGGCCTGTCTTTCCTGAAAAGGACACAGCCATCCGTGACCACATTCCATTCATGTGAGCTGTCCCACCATCTCGTGTCATTACCACCAGATTGTAACCCCTTGGTGACACAGATTTCTAACTCCTCCTATTCATTCCCAATGCTGCATGCATTGATGTACAGGCATTTGATCTGGAGCATCAGTAACTAGCAGAACTGCAGTGATCTTAATTGTAGTTGTATGCTGTCTGGACAAATCATTTTGTATTGATATTCCACTACAAAGCCTTAGGGTGTGATTTCTTGGCTGTGCCAGTTGGGTCTGTAGCAAGTAGGAAAAGCATGTTTCTTCAGTACTTTGCAGTGCGACTCTTATCTAGCAACGTATGTATACTTTACGCCTGTAAGACCTGAGACCTGCTGAAAAAACTGGCTAGAGCCTGCACTCTTCAGGTTTTCCTACAGACCAACAACTTTTTTTGCAGCACACTTGCATAGGAAGATCCCAAGCTAAGATTCGTGCCAAACCTGAAAATTTTCAGCTAACTAGTTACACTAGTTCAGGACAGCATTATGGAGCAGAGCTAAAAGGTATGAGGCAGCCTGCCCTTTCCAGGCTTCACTCCTTAATGCAGCCCCCAAAGGCACCACAGAGGTAATGTTGGAACCCTGTTACTCTCGGAGCATCACTTCCAATTAAACATGATGCTCTATTAAACATGGCCAAACACTCACTAAGGGAAATTTAGTAGTTTCTGAAGTTCAAAAATTAAGCACAGTATCTTGTATCAGTTAAGTTGGAAGTGATGGGCAAATGAGCAAAAAATCTAATAAAACACAATGTACGCCACTTGCCAATGCCAGCAGAGAAGAAGGTAGATAGTGGCAATTTCTGCTAACAAGGAGCAAAATTATATATCGTTTTTGTTTTACATTTGCATCATCTCTCTCTCAAGCTTAATCTTATGGTTCCTCACTGTTGCGTTGTTTCCCCTAACAGAAAACTAAGAATACAGAAAGTAATCACACTAGCTTTATAAAAGATATAACATGCAAAAATCCTTGGGACGTAAGATTCACACATAAGATGTCACACACACCAGTCAAAATTATTCATTAACGTTAAAAAAACCAGACTAACAAGCCTGCCTAAACACACCTGTGCCCTCTGTAAGTTAGGAATGGTACCTATAGTTGTCCCTTGGGGAGAAGAAAAGGACTAGGGGATGCTCTTTAAACTTTTTTCAAGTTATTTGATTCATGATGTAATTTCTTCAACGTGGCATGTTGTGTTTCAGAATAGTGTGTCTGGGTGGAGGAAGAGTGCAGTCTATGAGTTACAACAAGATTATTCATATTCTGTCATACACGAGAGCTTCCACCTCATTGTTATTTAACTGAAAAAAACCAGAAGATATTATGGGAGAACCTCACATATTTTTGGAATTTAGCTGATACCCTTTTGATCTGGTGAAAAGTGAAGCATGAGAAGTTCTTTATATCTGCAGTCTTTGCAAATGCAGCCAAATTTTCGACCCCAGAAGGTCAAATGTAGCAGTAATCAGAAACATATTTTAGGAAGCAGAAAAATCTGGCTTCACAAAGGACATATTATATCCTTTTGGAAATTGTACTTGACCATTTTTCCTGTGTCCTGTTAATGAATGATGAAGATTAATTTTCTGTAGCCCTGTGAGAACACTGAGGGTAGACACTTCTTGTTTATTAAAAATAAACAGCAAGTATCAATCTGCGGGTTATATGGTAATTGGAGGGCCTCAGCCATTATGAAATGTATAGTATCACATAATGGCCTTAAAGCCAAAAATCTAGGACAAGACTAGTGCAGAAAGAGACATGGTACAAAGCCTTACAGTCCTTAATAAGCTGTACAAAGGAAATATTATAATTAGGGTACATCTTTTCCCTGTGTTTAAACAGATTTTTTCCCTTCGTTTTGTGTTGTCAGTTTGATATATATCTACTGTGAACCAGAGAAGACATGAAAGGAGGGAAAATACCATCTCTTCTCATCTATTTCTTCCACATAGGCACTACACTTTGGGGTAGGTTTTAGCTCCGTTGTTTATGAAAAATAATAAAGATGACAATTATTACTACCTTTTTTTTAATAGGGGGAATGTTAACTGATTGTTAATGGTAGGGAATCAATTTGGGGTAATGTAAAACACTCCTGAAGACAACTGTTTGGAGAAGGGTTGCATGGATGGCCATGCCCATTGAGCACCTAGGCTGTTACCTGCCAGCGTTTCCGCCCCATGGCTTGGCTGATGGAAGTGCGACTGCTCAGCAGGCAGTGGTTGTCAGTTTGTGCTGAAAATGGCTTGAAATACATTAGTTGACTTTTCACTGAGGAGGCTGAGGAAAAAGTCATCCAGATTGCCCTGCCATACAAGCTGGAGAGGGCATCAAAATTTCCAAGACGACAGCTGCAGCCAGACGCTCGCTGCCTGCCTAACAGGTTGTCCAACCTTGGCCAAGAAGGTCTATATGGTGGTGGTAAGTTAATGCAGTCAGCATTTGAGAAGATTAGTTTAAAGTCCTTCTTTTATGCCAACAAGGCCTAAATTAAATGTTAACAGCAATCAGATGCTAGCACTTGTGCAAATTTTGAGGTTGAAGGTTGTGCTTTTGGAAATGCATTCAGAGCTCAGGTCCTAAGGTGTCGGTGTGCAGATCTGAATATCTATGTGCTTACTCGGGATATGTACTGAAACCTTGTAAATTCAAAGCCCAGAGCTCCGTGTTATTGACTAAACTGATTGAAGACCCTTGCTGTCCGAAAGGCTTGTGGTACAGAAAAGCCATGAAAGAGCTGTTGGCACGCTCGGTGGGAATATGCTGCCTGCCAGAGCATTTTTTTGTCAGTGATAAGGAGGGGCAGAAATATGCTCATAGACTAGATTTAATTTATTCATTTGTATTTATGGGCTTTAGGTTTTACAAAAGAGGAAACAGTAACAGGTGTGTTTTCCAAGGATTGCATCCTCCCTTGTCTTTTCCCACCTGGGGATGATGAAGTGATTTACTGGAAGAAAGGGGATAAAATTGTGCACAGCTACTACTATCAGAAGGATCAGCTGGAAAGACAAGACCTGGATTACAGGCACAGAACACACCTTTTTCACGATAAGATTCCTAGTGGAAATGCCTCCTTGAAACTTAGTAACCTGGCCTTGACTGATGAAGGATTTTATAGTTGTTATGTTGGAACACAGCAAACTACAACAGATGTGGAAGTCACGCTGCACATAAGAGGTCAGTAAGATATCAGAAGTGCTTGGATTGCGACAGTGGAAATGGGATTACACCAAGAGATTCTTCTCATGTTATTTCTCACATGGAATCAAAATCCTTCAACCCAACAGAGTACCTTTTGAGCCTGATGGTGTTAGTTAAGCAGTGAATTTTCTCTGATGAAATGTTGTAACATAAGATGAAGAATTACAGCACAGTAGTGTTCTCATCACCTACTGCACCATGACTTCTAAGGGGTAATTAGGTAGTATACTTGATTTTTAAAACATTATATGACTTCTCAGAACTGCACAGATCCTGGCATTGGCAGTAAGTAATGCTATGCTTTCTTCTGAAACCAAATACAGATTAATTTTTGTTCTTAGTTATGTTTATTCTTACCAATCTTATTTCAAAAGACTAATTAGTTCAAGTTAAAAAGGATTTTGAAAGTAATAGGAGTGATTTTTTTAAATTTTTTTTTTTTTTACTATACAGTTTCCTCATATTATGCACTGGAATACCGAAAGACAGCCACAGAAAGGAAGCTGAAGTGCTATGCCTTTCACACTTATCCAGCACCACGTATATCTTGGGTACAAGGGAATACATCCATCCAAGAAACAGGTCAGGAGGAAACCAGGGATGGAGTTCTCTATTCTCTTAGAAGTGACCAGAACATTATAAACGCAGCTGATGTTTACTACTGTCAGATTCACCTCCCTTATGAAGAGTGGGCTGCTGAATGGAAGATGCAAGGTAGGAGTGAATGGAAGTCTCTCCCTTAATCACTACTGAATGTCACAGCTGGTTTCAGAGCCAGATTAAATACAGTGTTTGGGCAGTGAGGCAACACCGATACGGGATTGTGCGGAAGGCTGGACCTTCCTCTGTCACAATTACAAGGCATCACACGGTCCAAGAAGCAGGAAATCACACATCTGTTAGCTTTCCTCTGAACATTTCTTCCATATCAATTTCAAATTTCACGTGGTGCCTAATAACCGGGCTTTGCACTCTGTTAAGAAAAGAATTAACTCATACAAAAGACGTGGAAACCTCAGTGAACCTGTGCGTTATATGAGGCAGGTGAAAGTTTGCCTCCTGCTCTAGGTGCATGTGCTCCTTACTCAGTCCATTTCCCATCACAGATTTTGATCAGTACGCTTTGATTCTTTCTTTGTACTTCTCCTCATGTGCCCACCGTGAGTGCTGGGGGGTGCAGGGGAGTGGAGAGCAGTGTTAGTTAAGGAAAAACAGGGCTGTGAAATTTCAACCCTCTGTTTTGTCCTCCTCCTGAATTTCGCTGGAAATTTACCCCAGGTGCATAACTGATATTTTCGCACAACTCCTGTTTCTTAGGAAGTGTTTTTCAATTGTGTAAGAGCAATGCAAGAGGAATTCCCTTGTGAGATGTGCATGGCTGCTTCCATTGCCCTGATTTCTCCCTCAGGTGTACCCACATGCTCTCAGTTCCTAATTCATTGCGTAAGCTTCAGGACAAGAGTGCAGTTTTTAATTTACGTACAATAGCTTGTGATATGGAAGGTTTCAGGTATGACATCATAGTAGGTAACGTGCACTATAAACGACTATTTTGTTAATCTATCCTTCCAATCCATGTGAGAGAAATGTACATTTAATTACACTTTTGTTTGAATTTCCCTGCATCCATCTGTCTCTCAGACTGGAACATTCTGAAAACATACTCTTTTCCTTTTGTAATAGCAGTATGGGGTTCAGTTTTGTTTTGTCCTTCTGATATTCAGTCCCACAACTCTTCATTCAGCGCCCTCCACATCCCAAATCAAGTGTGGTTATACGATGTCAGAATAAGGAATTATTATTTCCTCTCCAGCAGATTCCCAGCCACCACAGCCTCCTGGGTTTTTCCTTCCTTTGCAGCAAATCCCTACTGTCAAATTGATAGTTATGCTATGATATTAGTCTTATATTAGTATTTTATACATGAGCTATTAGTTCCACTTACCTTCTCTGTCCTTCTCATTCCTATTTTTTTTTAAAGCTATTCATTAATTGTATGTGTTCCACACAGTCACATGAAGAGTTGAAGTTCACTGTGGCAGAAAGTTATTTCTAAGTAAATACAATCTTTTTTTTTTTTCCTTTTGATTAAATGATATTGTAACAGTTTTACCCTTTTGCTTTAAATGTGCAGGTATCTGAGTGGCTGCATTTTGCTTGTGCTCCCAATATGTAGAATTTCATGCTGCTTTACGCAGTAATTTAGACTAGGCTGAATCACTTCTACTAATGAGCCCCCCTCCCAGTTAGAGGAGAGACTGGCAATTGAAAACAAGATGATTTTCCTAAGCATCCCAAATACTTATTAGATATTTTTATTTTTTTAATGTAAGATAAGTTTGCTTTTGAAATCTTCAGAAGCTTCTAGAAGCATACTGTGATGTTTAAATATGACAAAATAGTGAAATACATTCTTATGTTTGTCCGCAGTAGTATCAGACTTCATAAAAAAGTCAGAAAATGTCTAAATAGCATTCACGGTATCTAAAAAAGAAATGCAGAGAGTTGTTCAATTATCTGTTTCAGACCAACTGTCTATCTTAGAAGGAAGTAGCACTGCAATTCCTTGTGAATACAGCAATAACAGCACAAACACTGAAGATTTCAGTGTTGTTTGGACATTAAACAGAAATACAGTGATTTCAGTCCTGGCCGCCTTCAACGGTACACCTCACACTTACCAGCCTCGAGTCAAAATTAACCAAAGTGACTTTTCACTGATCTTGCGTGATCTTACTGCGAGTGACAGTGGAGAATACCTGTGTAACGTTTCAACACCGCTCTACACAAAACTCACTGTGAGAACTT